TCTTACTGGGTCAGGATTAAACTCTATGGGTGCTGGATCCTTGCAACTACAAATGCTTCCATATCCTTCGACTTTACTGCAGAAGAGTTTCCTCCGGCGGTTCAGCTCTGTGTCTGCCCAATGGCACTCTGCCTCTGAAATGAGTCACAAAGTCAACAGACAGTTTCAACACGATCCATAACATAACTGCAACAAATGAACTCTACACTCATAATAATAGAGGCAGAAATACCTTCAGAAGCTGTCAGCTGGACCTCAGTCTTCAGCAGCACAGGATCACCCCATGTGGACAGAGCAGGAGACTTGGAGTGCTTCTCCCCATAAACTTGTCCTAAGAAAATAAATAGTACATTTATATCACATCACAGTGGGAAAAAAAGAGGCGTTTTCTGTTTTATATATTATCAAATATAATTTATTACAGTATATTAGAATGTTTTCTGAAGGACCATGTGACACTGAGGACAAGTAATGCCTGCTGAAAATTCAGTTTTGCCATGACATTAAAAAAAAACATTTTAAAATGTTAAGACAAAACAGTTATCTTATATTTCACAATATTATAGTTTTACTGTATTTTCGATCAAATAAATGCAGCCTTTGTAATAAGCACTTCTTTCAAAAACATTAAAAAAACCTTAATTATTTCAAACTTTTGAACAATAGTATAATACATGATTAAAAAGTTAAAAAGCATTGTCCTTACCTCCCTTCTTCACGACCAGAGTCCACATATCTCTCCAGCCTAAGGTGACAGCTACCTGACTCCCCAAACCTTTCAGAAGATTCTTTGCTGCATCCTTCAAGTGGAAAGTCCCCTCATCCTGAAGAGGCCAATAAGAAGTGCAAATACAGACAAAGAAATCACAAATCTGAATCCATGAGAGTGGATGGGAGAGGCATTTCTTTAACCTTAATAGTGAAGATGAGGATTCTGCCACGTGTGACCATGTTGAGGAAGAGTATCATGGCTTCATCCTCATGAGGAGAATAAGTATCGAACACTCTTTTGGCCATGACATGACCCTGAAAGAAGAGGATACAGCAAAATGTTATCATACAAACTTACAAAATAATCTAAATAATGTTCGAGTTATGGAGTGGACAACTTAAAAAGATAGTAATGATAAAAGA